AAAAAAGACCTTGCCAACTATGTCCAAAATTCTAGCTTTCCTCGTGAACACGCCACGTACATTTGTGGTAATTCACCAAAAGCTGCAAGAGGACCCTGTGGCCTCCGATCAAAACATAGACCACCATGTTAACTAACATTAGTTCAGCCAGCAGCCCAAGCAATCAACAAAGAATTCCAGCAGGCTCATCCTACGGCCAATTGGTTGGTCAATGAACAAAGCAGTTGAGCACTCTAATAACAAGCACATTGCTTAAAAATAACGTACCATCGTGCATGCTAACATCAAAGAACAATTCCTACCAAATTGTGAACAGCATATACATGGTCAAACACAAAGACAAGCTAACTGTAGAACTCAATAATATTCAAACAACTCCAAATCAGCAGTTATTTTGAGCACTTACAATACAAAGACAACCAACAAAAATTTCCAAGAACAGGTTCTGATTTTAAACCAAACTGAGAGATGCAAGTGCCCTTGGTAAATCATTGCACCCGCAGCTCCCAATTTCAAGTCTGGTACACTTTTTAGCTAAACCTACGAAATAAGATATAAAATTACTCCAAACAAGGAAAAATTTACCTTGCCCTTACCAAAACCTCTTCAAAGGAGATCAGCAACATTGGCTGGCAGCTCCTCAATTACAACATTATAAAACTTCTGTATGTCAAAGAGCATGCGCTCGTCATCACGAGTAACAAAGTTGATAGCAACACCCTTCCTTCCAAATCGTCCACTACGACCAATACGATGGAGGTAATTTTCTGGCTGAGTTGGGAGATCATAGTTGATAACAAGTGAGACTTGTTGGACATCAATACCACGGGCCAGAAGATCAGTTGTGATAAGCACACGAGAGGAACCAGAGCGGAATTCCCGCATGATGATGTCTCTGGTGTTCTGGTCCATGTCCCCGTGGGTGGCTGAGACTGTGTGGTCACGGCTACGCATTTTATCAGTGAGCCAGTCCACCTTACGCCTGGTGTTAACAAAGATGACACTCTGGGTAATGGCAAGGGTCTCATAAAGATCGCAAAGTGTTTCAAGCTTCCATTCCTCCTTTTCAACATTGACATAGAATTGCTTGATACCTTCAAGAGTAAGCTCATCACGCTTCACAAGAATCCTTACTGGCTTGTTCATGAACTTCCTTGTGATTTCAAGTGCCTCAGGTGGCATTGTAGCTGAGAATACACCAACCTGAATCTTGGGTGGCAAGAGCTGGAAAATATCATAAATCTGAAATAAAGAAAGTAAATTTATCAGAGGCAGTTTATATTAAAATTATCTGCAACCCGCAACACAGTCTTCCAAGAAATCTAGAAATATGCACACATGACACACACAACCTCTCTTAAAAGGCTGAGAGAGGCAACTTTTCCAACATATACATGCACAACACAAAAGGTGGAAATGACAAATATGATTATGTAAACCTAGCTGCAGAAGCCAACAAAACTACACTATTAAAAAATGAGAACCTGATCCTTGAAACCTCTGGAAAGCATTTCATCAGCTTCATCCAGCACAAACATCTTGATGTAATCAGGGCGAAGTGACTGTCTCCTCAACATGTCAAATACACGACCAGGAGTACCAACTACAACATGAACCCCACTGGAAAGAATGCGCTGATCCTCACGGACACTGGTACCTCCCACGCAAGCGTGAACCTTCACACCAAGGTAGTCACCCAGAGCACGCATAACCTTCTCAATTTGCTGCGCAAGCTCACGGGTGGGGGCAAGAACAAGAGCCTGACACTCAACCACACTATAGTCTAGCTGCTGGAGGATTCCTGAACAGAAAGTTGCTGTCTTTCCGGTTCCAGACTGTGCCTGCTGAATAACATCCAGTCCCTTGCAAAAAGGAACAATTCCCCTTTGTTGAATAGCAGAGGGCTTCTCAAAACCTTTGAATTAAAAATCCAGAATTTATTAGTCAATATTTTTAGAAAAACTATCAAAATAGCCAAACTAAAAAGTTCATAGCAGAAAACATAACAAACAAAATGTACAAGGAGGCATGTATAGCATATCAAAAACATAAAATCACAATGACAAACAAAATCAGTTAAGAATGGAAAAAATTAGCAGCCTAGTAACATATTGAGCAATAGAAAACAAAACTGTCATCACAAAACCAAAGAAGCGTTAGCTTGATGTGAAGGAAACCAAAACAGATGGCAACTTGAGTAAGTAGAGTGCCTCACAACACTAAGGGAGTAATCCAGAAGATTATGGGGCAGATAGAAGCATCTAACCATTCACATAACCGCTAACATAAATAATCTTAAATCAGATCTAGGTCAATCGTATACTAATTTACACATGTATCTGCTTAAAACTTTATTCAAGAACCCTTATTGGTGATCAACAGATTTTATTTTTTCAACCTTATTAGGATATATTATTGTAGCTGTACTCGATACCAATATGCCACATGTTACACAAATTTTCTTAACCAACTATGACAAGCTAAATTTAAAACAAAGTTAGAGAGAAACAATATAGAGATGCCAGCAAACCAATCTGCAAGGGATTAAATTTAGGCCTATGCCACATGATTGACTAGGCAAACAGCGATTCCCAGCCACAGCTTACCATAAGCATAAATGCCCCTGAGAAGGTTCTCTTGCAACCCCATTGAATCAAAACTGTCATAAACCTCATCATAAGAAGTGAAGAATTCCTGACCACCATCAGTACCAAGCCTATGCAGATGAAACAAAAATCAACAATAAGAAATAGACTAAAACATCATAACCAAATCATAGGCTAATCAGTCTCAAGCACAAATAAATTAATGGGATGTAGAACTGGATAGTGGTGTATTTTAAACGAACATATAAAAATACATAACTAGGAATCCAAAAATTTTCAATTTTGATTTTGTTCTTATGAGAGGAGACAAATGCCAGGAAGGACATACAACTCGGTCATTTTAGCATCATATTGACGCGCATCAAATTGAGATCCCTCCGGTGCAATGCCAGCCATGACTGCATTAGTAACAACCAAGTATCAATTGAGTAAAAAGCAATAACATGAATATTCCAATTGTTAGAGATACAATTCAAGAAACAAAGAGCTATATATTTAGTTCTTGCAAAAAGATGCTTCCACGTAAGAAAAATTCATATCTCCATTTACAGAAATACAGTTCAAGTCCAGTGCATCAACAGCTCATGTTGCATCTCCTTAAATCATGAGATCTATCACAATATCATACTTTAGCTCCAGTCACCTAATTAACTTATTAGACACAAAGGGTCATGATTTGGTATTCATGGATTACTGGGAAAACCATAAAGCCAATTCTTACAAACCAATGATCCAGAAAACAAGGGGAAAACGTAAGCCATAGTCTACCAAACATTGTAGTGCATAGAGAACAATCACACCAACAGAATCATCTCATAACCATCTAACTCAACAAGAAAAAAAGCAACCCAAAAAAACCAAACAGGACAAAAAGTTGGTAGCTTCTTAATAGAATTGGGTATCTCCATGCAGACGGTAGGATGAGAATCTACGTCAATGGATTAACATCCCACGCTCCACACTGCGATTCTTAAGCTAGCTTCTGCAGAATATCTACACAATGACCCTAATTAAATTTACAAGCAACTATTTTTGAATCTTCTGACTCTTCAAAGAATGAAACATAGACACACCCCTAAAACATTCCACCAAGAGCAAAAAGCTGAAATAAGAAAAGAAAAAAGTCGGACCCACCATAATGAACCACAACCCTTCATTATAGAAGCATACGAAGAGACACATGCGCCAAAACAATCCATCTTCAACGAAAAAACCACCACAAAGGACTCATCTTTTATTTGACATATAAAAGCAACAAGACGCATCAACAGGTACAATACAAACACAAAAAGCACAAAAATTTTTTAACAAAAAACATCATAAGCAAATAGATCTTCAATCAACGGAGACCCAAAAAAAGAAATCACGAAACTTAACGACTAAAACAAGACGAACCCATCAAAACATGAAGAAAACCCATACGGACCATCATATGCAATCTCAGAAAGGTCATCAAAATCCAATCTTCCACAAATCTAGTAAATCAAGTCCAAATAAGCCCGCAAAATAAAAGAGAAGAGCTACACATAATAAAACAACAAATAAATAGATAAAGAAACACAGCGATGAGATGAATACCTCGCAAATAGTAGCGATGAGATGAAGATCTGAAGAGAAAAAGAGAGGTTTGCGAAAGAAGGCCGAAATAGGGTTTTGCTAAAGCTGTGATTTTGTTTCCGAAACTCCTCGGATCTACGCCGCGGAGTTAAGGAAAAGAAAGAAAATGTGAACTGATGAAAAGAGGGAAAACAAAGACTGCTGCTTTGTTTATTTTTATGCCTTGAAAGGGCGGTGGGCTGCGGGGACGCTGAAAGGGGAAAAAGAGAGGGGAGGAAAAAGCACACAAAGCCTTTAGGGATTGGGATTTGCTGCCCTGGTGCTTTGTCTTCTTCTTGTCAATTTCCAATTTTGCCACTCAGGGTTGCTCTGAACGATGTCGGTTTGAGTGATTTATGGTGTGAACGATGTCATTTTGATTGGGCTGGTTAAAAGCTGTGACACCGTGATTGGGCTGTGGGTTCTTATATGCGTCTCTGGGTGGAAAGTTTATGGGTCTGATGATTGGGCTCTTGGGTAATTCCATTGGCAAATCTGGGCTCTCCTAACCCAAGACACAGTTGGTTGACAAAGACAGGTTCAACCTATTCAACATGCGTCAACTTTTTGACTTCTTGATATGCAAGGCGGCACAAATTTGTTGGTGGGGGGAAAAATCCCAAATGCACAAATCATTTAGTACTACCCGGTGGTGTCCCAATGAGATAATTTCTTAACTTTGCTACTTCTGTTCCCTATATATAAAACCTCAAGTCCCTCAAACCTTTTGCTTCTCTTGTCTAATACAACATTTATCCTCTTTGTAAGATCACCATTTGCTTCTAGTCCTCAGGAGTCATGGCTGTCTCAAGTGCCATGCTCGTGCTAGGCTTATCCCTTGCCTTAGTCGGTTTTTCAGCTGCTCAAGCGCCATCATTACCTCCAACATCAAATGCAGCGCCACCCTCCACCTCCGCTACACCTCCACCTACGGTTGCAGTTCCTCTGCCAACCTCTCCTGCTCCCAGCATTGCTCCCCCCACTTCATCAGCTCCGGTATCCCCTCCTCCTCCTGCTGCTCCCAGCACTACTCCCACTATTGCTCCCCGGTATCCCCTCCTCCTCCTCCTCCTCCTCCTCCTTCTCCTCCTCCTCATGCTCCAGCACTACTCCCAGCATGGCTCCTACGGCATCCCCTCCTCCTCCTCATGCTCCCAGCATGGCTCCCACCACTTCATCAGCTCCGGTATCCCCTCCTCCTGCTCCAGCACTACTCCCAGCATGGCTCCCACCATTTCATCGGCTCCGGTATCCCCTCCTCCAACGTCTTCTCCGAGTCCAAGTCCATCCATGAGCTCCCCACCTGCGCCTGCACCTGAAACGCCAGCCTCTCAACCAGCTCCTATGGGGCCAGCATCTCCACCATCTCCAGCACCTGCTCCCTCCACCACCACCACCCCTCCTCCCCAGATTCAGGTGCATTTGTTCAGGGAAGTAACATGGCTTTGCTCACACTCTTTGCAGGAGTTGCACTCCTCTTTTAAGCTCCAGTGTTTCCACGATATTCATTTCCATTCACATTTGTGTAGATTAAATAATGCTTTATGTATTCTTTTCCTGGTATTTCTTTTCATTGGGAGCTCTCCAGCTTTTCTTGTTTTCCTTTTGATTTTTTTTTTTATTTCATTTGTGGTTAATTTGGAGCTCCATTTGTAATTTGTGAGCAAAGATCAGGACGGTTTGGAGATTTTACAGAGTTACAGCTCTTCTTTTAACATTTTAGGTTAGCCTAATAAGGTAAATTGTCGGTGACAGAGTATGAATCGCTCTCAGTTTATGGTCCTTAACCAGTCCGTCCTCGCCGAACTGTAACAGGATCACCACATTTCCATGGTTATCATCTTCATGAATTAGCAAGTCCAGTGCCTATGCACTTTCACTTTGCTCGAGGACATTAATAGACACTTCAAGAATAATAGAGTTACCAGGTCCCAGTTGATGTCTTTTTCAGTGGTACTGGGACTAACAACTGCACTTCGAATGAGAAACTTGTCCTTGCTTGGTGCATTCGGAGGAGCTTTCTGAGCTTGCATTGTCACTGAAGCAAAGAAAATTAACAAAAGAGCAAGAGTTAGTGAAGGATCACCTGCTGTACCTTAAAGAATCTTGAAGACTGGGAAGATGTTTTATACCACATTGCCGAAATTTTTGTCTACCAGTAAGAGTTTTACACTCAATATCCCTTAAAAAATGGGGTGTCAAGTAGAATTTGAGCAACAAAGGGGTTGAGACCAGAAAGGATCTTCATTGTGCTCGGTTTCACCAAGTCGAAGACTCTAATTTCGCATAAGAGTACAATCTAGCACAGGTTGCTATTGATTATTTTCAAAATTCTGGCATTAGAAAGAAGCAAAGTTTGTGCAAGGAAAGGGAGGGGTGACTGGCGAAAGGTAATCACACCTGTGATACTAAATGTAGATTGAGGAACCATAACACCTCGGATTGGTCGAGCACTGTAGTTCTTCGGGTTTGTGGTCATGACCTGAAGACAAAGTACTTCAGACTTCAGCATGTACAAGAAGAACTGCAAACGAATTTAATTCTTGTTTCAAATGGATATGCTAGAAAATTCTGAAAACCCTCCACCGACATCATACAAATGAAATTCGATGAACCTAAAAATATCTGCAATTGTAGAATAGATGAGAATGTAAATTCTCTAAGGATTAATATGCCCCTAATATTGGAAAATCACCTTGAAAGCAACATAATTTGCAGTCGTATTTGAAAATTGGAGAGAACTGGAAATCTGCTTATTCGCCTCAACTGTCCAATACGTCCAGTTAAAGACAACAAAAAGAAATCAAACAAACGTGAGTATAACTCCATAGAAAGAATGGAAAAGGTTTGGGGTGCTTACAAGGAAATTTGATGACATCAGGCATCTCCATTGTGCTCATCTTTTTACCCTCAAAGACAAGAAGAGAACAGTGTTAATTTGCATCAGTTCATAATGAAAAGGTACCTGTAAAAATGAGGTACTTGGCTAGGATAGAATATACAGGTCAGCTGGTCTATTCATAACACTTATCAGATGAATAATGATGTCATGAGCCCAAACTAGCTTCATTGTAAACTCATCAATCTGAATTCTGGGTACTTGTGTGGAAAGGAATTTTTGCAAAAGCATTTACTTTTACATTTTATTTCATTGATGCCAAGCAAATTTAACTGTGCAGACCAGTTCTATCTTCCTTATGTGTTCGCAGAGTACCTCAAGAAAAATAAAATCCAGGAAAGGTAAAACTAGAAAATTGTCAAAACTATAAATTAAGTGCTGAAGGTAGAACTCATTTTCATAGGAACATAGACATGTCTTGGTAGTGCTATAAGATGTGATCATTGAAATACATGAAAATACAAAGGTATCTATGGCCTTCTGAAAGGAGGCACATAGTTGGGGAGAAATCATCACTGAGCCTCTTCAGTAGAGGCAAGACAACATTTTTAGGCAAGAAGAAAGCTAAAAATGCCTGATAAAAATGCTGATGGAAGACATTCGTTTTCTGATTCATACAAATGTCTATCCCTTAATGGAAATGCTTTTAGTTTCAAGATGATCTTTTGGTGGTTTTGATATACATTTTCTAGCTCTTCAGCATCGACTTCCCTGATTTTGATAAGGAATCTATTCCAGTATACACAAGTTGGATGATTTGCAGATTTCTGCACCTAAACTAGTTGCTTAATGATACATTTCCAGAGAATGTAAATCTTGCTTCTAGTTCTGATTTTCACTCCAGATGGTTTGTAAACTATTTGCCACATATTAGTAGAAAACATATCAGGCTGGACAGAATCATAGTTTGCACTCCAATACGATCCTAGAATACAACATCAAATTATTGAATGCATGCTTCTATGTACCGATGTAAAAATCCAACTAGGATGTGTATTTGTAGGCTATAACCAAAAGGTTTGACATGAATTTTAAGAACTGATGCGGGCATACAAAACAACACAAATTTAAAACAAGGATTCGAAATCAAACATTCCGAATTTACTAGTTCAAAACAAAAACTGTGCAGCTATATAAGACAGAAAACCTGAGAAGAATTCAAATGTGTGCCATCTGTTAGCAATGTGTTGGCTTGCTCAGACTCCAGCGAAAGTGGTAGAGCTGTGGACAGGTAAACAACTGGCAATTTGTATTCTTCAATAGAAAACCCTTCCTCCTTATCAAACTATACAAGAGGAAACTCCAGTTTTAATTGCATATAATAAATGCAGAATAAGTGGGTGATTACAACTTTTGACTTGTTGACAATGGCATCAAGGAAAATTGTAAAATTTAATTATGCATATGCAAGTTTGCCATTCAATTAGTAACTCTTGACAAACTCATGAATTGATCGCACAATCATATGACATACCACATTCTTGGTGATGTGGTTTAAGTCTGCACATGCGCTGACAAGGACACTTTGAATCTTAAATTTGTCCTCGCATTGCTTGGCTGTGCAGGGCTTATTCTGAGCTTGCATTGTAACTGTGGAGATTGAAGCAAGAGGCATAATATTCAGAAACAGCACCTTCTTTTATCAAATACAAATACAATGAATGCAGGAGAACAAAGGAAAGTTACATCAATCTCAGAGAGCCCTTTTTTTTTTTTTTTTGCAAGAGCATAAAAAACAAATAGATCAATTCATCAAATTTAGGCTTCATTCAGGAAAGACCAGTTTTCGACCCTCATACAGTTCAGTTTCGACGAGACTTGTATCTCATTGAACTCAACAGTGTCGGAGAAATTGTTCCAATGGAAGGGAGAAATAACACAAGATTTTCATAGTTTCAATAACCAAAGAATCAAACACCTAAGACGATGTTTTGATTTCTTTTACCTGTCTTAATAAACAGAGTTGAAGAAGAAAAGCAAACAAAGGAAAAAAAATTGTTACCACCTGTGATACCACATGTTGTCCCTGGCAAAATAATTCCAGTGTTTGGGCGGACAACATAGACAGTCTTATTGGTCGTTAAAACCTGTAAGTGAGAAAAACAATGAGATTACAAAAGCCTAACCTAACCAACCAGATTAGAAAATCCACACATAGGGTATTGAAGTGAAGTATACCTTGAAAGCAACAGGGCTATTCATCAAATTAGACAAGTGAAGACAGCAAGATATCTGCTTCTTTGGCTCAACTGACCAGACAACCAATAAAAGACTGCACTGTTAAATAACAAATGCAGAAGGAAGAATAAACTCTGAGAAAACTTGATTGCAAAACAATAGGGACTCACTCACAGGTAAATCTCAGTTCCGAAGGTTCTATCTTGAGAAGCCTCCCTCCACTTGGCGTCTTTTACTCTCATAAAGTAACAAAAAGAGAGAATAAATATTCAGCAGGACCAATAAAAAGGCTTGGCAGAAGAAACTAACTGCCAACTGTTTAATACTTATCACAAAGCTAATCAATGATGAAAAGTAATACGCGAAAATATTTCACTGGCTAATGAAAAGAGTTAATGTTTAGCTTGATTCTGACAAACCAATTACCTCGATCATTATATAACTCAGCCCATTTGATTACAGAATAGCTCAAAAAAAAAATGTTTTCTGCCTATCTCAAATTTCATGCCAAAGGATATTGCAGACTCAAGAAATGGGAAAACAGACAAAGATGATTAGCATTATGAATTCTTTTGCAGATGTCCAGCTAATCATTCTCACGAGTAAATGAGCATGTTTTTTGCACATTAAACCCAGAAGCAAAGGCCCTTTACCTCAGAGGAATTGTCAAGACTACGAGTAGATGCTTCAACAACCTGAAGATACCAGCATCCAAAGCTTTTTAGAACATTCAAAAAAAATAAAAAACAAAAAAAAAAGGAACTCTCAAACTCATGCAAACCTCCATTGTCTACAGCCAAAAGTGCTCCGAAAACAAGCTTTGTTGATGTGGGAGAATTCTTGGTTACATGTCAAAAATACAAGAATGCTTCTTGTTAGTCTCTATAAAATTAAAAGGCAACATCTAATGCTATTAGGATTCTATTATAGTAGTATAACAAAGTCAAGTCAATTGGGGAAAATAGTTTAAAATGTTTAAGAAATTACGTAGAACATAATAATGGTAGTGCAAAGCCAAGAACATATGGAACCACATCAATTAATGCCAAACTTTTTTTTTCTTTTTCCTCTTCTTATTTGGAGGGGAACCAAACCATGTCAATTACTTGTTTGAGCCTTTGAGGGTAGAAACATTTCATTTGTTCAATGAAAGAAATTTCATTTGAAACATGAAAATTACTACGACACGGCCGCACAATCTCGTACGGCAACGATAGTTGTGAAACTTCCTATATTGTGCTCTTAGGATACTTTTCAAATTATGAATTCCATCTCGATCTTGAAGTCAGCTAATAATAGTATAGTTGGAGGGCTAGAATTTTGTGATTTAAAGTCCATGTTTTACATTATCAAAAAAAAAAAGTCCATGTTTTATGAACTAAGATAGCTTCTTGATAGATAAGTTGTGATTCAAATTCTTGTATTTTACAAAGTTTAGATTTATTGCGATAAGCAAAATCAATTCCCTGCTGCCCTGAACTTCTCTCTTTTTCTTTTTTTTTAATGCTAATTAATAGCATAGGATGGTAGAAATTATTCATTTTCGTTGAAGAATTTTATTTATTTAGCTAATGCTGAGTTTTCTACATTTTATTTTCATGATATATAAAAACTGTTTAAATAGTAGATTATTTGGGATAATTTCTTTTTAAAAAAAATATACTGTAGCATTTTTTTTTTCTGAATGTGATATATGTAAAATAAAAATATAGTTAAAAAATGTATTAACAGTGTAAGCAAATAATAATTTGACAAATAATCTCTGTCTAAACCAACCCTATGGAAACATAAGTTTACAAATGAATAAAATATTTTACTTTGACAATTTTATTGGATCAAACAAAATTTTTAGCAGGTTTGACAAGAAAAGTCGAAGATTATCTGAAAGAAGCAGGTTTGACAATACAAAGCATGAAAGGACTTCAATGTGTGATCATCCAGTAGTATATCGGCAGTTCAACTGCTGAAGCAGAGCTTTTATTATATTAGCCAAATTCCCCATCACTTGAAAGCCGAATCAAAATTTATTTTATTTTCAAAAAAGACTTCATCCGTAGGAGTAGTAGGATATGATATGCTACTCTAAAGAGGACAAGGGGCCGAATGATTATCAAGGAAATCGTTTTGGACGATTTTGTGTAAAATACATGCCGCGCCATAATTTTATTAGCACACGATATAATTCACTTATAATTCACTTGTAAAGGATATTTCTTCGTCCCATTTGCAGGGTTATGTGTATTTATTGGTACCTTCTTATATTATAATCTTCTTGGCTGGGCTAATAGACAGACATCTTATATTGGCCTTGTCCTTGTTTCCTTTTTCTCTTTTACGTTATTGGGCTTGTCACTTTATTCCCTCCCTTCATCAAAATTTATCCCTTTTTTTAGATTAAAGTTGAGTAATCTCGTCTACTTCTTGATTAGAAGGTGTTTCAACATTAAAAAAATTAACGGTGTTTTGTTGTCAACTAACAGGTCTTCCGTAGTGTACGTGCTCACTCTTGCTGCCTAATGCCAATTTTTGTTTTGATTGCTCAGTAGCCTTCCTCAATTTGCTTATTTAGTAGTAATTTAGACACAATTTTATGAACCCAAGGTTAAACCTCATCATAATTAAGTAACAACAGTTGCTGCCACTACGGTAAAAAATGAGAATTGACAACCACCAATTTAAAAAAAAAAACACTATCAGTTTCAGAAGTTGCCCACCAATGCCACAATTTCGTGAAATGAAAGCCTTTCATATTCTATGTTAGAGAAATGGTCAAGACGCCCAGTTTCCACCCTGCCAGTAGCGACTTGCCTTTACCAGACAACAGCAAGAAGTCCCGTCCATTACTGTACATGGCTTAACTTGTACTGCCATGGCTCAAATATATCTAAACTTCATAACCAGATTCCTGCATACTTGCAACCTAAACGTACAGTTTCACACCAAAATACAGCAGATTACCTTGATAGCACGAATTGACAAACCCAATACGAAATATAACAGAAAATAATTGGATTATGGTGCTTAAGAAGAAACTATCTCCCAACATTTTTTGGGATTTTCAATGTCTTGCAAAGCAGTAATTTGTCCTACAAGATCAAACTGCATTTTTAAATACTAGTTGAATAACAAGAAATAAAAAAATTTCATCAACTTCATAAAAGAATACACCTATAATCCACCAGATCAAGTTTCCTGCTACACAAATGCTAACTATGCAAAATCAGTGTCCTCACTGGAAGAATTATGTCCTTTTCAATGTGTATCCCAATATGATGCCCAGCAAGCCAAAGACAATGACAATAACTACAGATACACCGCCACGACTTTTGTTGCTGTCATGCCTCAAGAGTTCCTGCACCACAGAATGTTTATAAGGATAAGCTACAACCATTTTTCAAATACTAGACAAGAAATCTGACACATAACAAAGTACAACGTACTTCTGTAATGATTCTAATTGCAACTGATTGTTGCTTACCTCTCAGTTCTGCATTTCTACAGTTTGTGATATATTTACAACAAACTTATTTGCCATTTCATAGAGTGAATCCAAACCAAACAAATAAAATTGGAGAAAAAGCATGATTGTAGGCAAATAACCAAGCATGCTAGATCTCACATAATAAGGGACAGGAAACCTTACCAATTCTTGACGAATTCTTTTACTATGTTGGACTGCAGCAGCTTTTTCCTCAGTTAACTTTGAAATGAGAGATCTTGCCTGAAAAACATCACATCATGTTCCTATTAGTTGTCAAAGTTAAATGCTTGAGCTGGATGGATGCAAAATGCAAATGGACGAAGACATGCATCTAAAAATCAAACGATAAAGCAAACTTAAAAAGGGAATAGCTAAGTTCTTGTAGAATCAACAAGCGTATTGCTGTGAGAAAATCAGAGGGTAAAGGAATACCATAGCCAGTCAAAAGATGTGTGCATAATGTTGCTCTTAAATCAACAATACCAAAAGAAACACTCCAAAATGATATGTGGAGACCAATATTTCCAATATCATTAATTCTCTATGACAAAAAACTACATAAATTATGTCATAGTGTCCAACCATTACTCCCATGTACCAAGAAAGACTACAAATCAAATAAGACTTTTGAAACTTGAATGCGTGTGTCTGGGTACATTTCTCTACAACTCTTTTTAGGGGGAACTAAAAAAGCATATTAAACTATCCACTTAAACCCCTAGTTCCTTGATAGTGTCTCAAGAACAATTTCCATTTGCTTCCAAACACAGGCTTGAAGATGAACGGGAGATCTGACCCAGATCTACCTAGACCTAAAAAAAAATACTGCTGTTTCACATTTGGAATATATGGACAGAGAGTTTGCACTGCTATGTTTCAAACATTGGTTAAAAGACTTGGCAATCTGACCAGCAAAATATTACTTTTGGCACCAAGCTGAACACAGTTCCAGACTAAGGAACTGGCAAAAGTACGGAAATCCATCCATATCTCGATTACATAGGAATATTATATTACCTTATCCCATCATCTGTGAAACAACAATAATATATCATTGCATAGCACAAAGGTAAACCCATCCCAAAATTACTTTGGAATAGTAAGTCCAGATTCACTCTTTTCCTTTTATGGTCCTTCCACCCAGAACTATCATCTTCATATAAGTAAGCTTGTATAGAGAGATGCACTAAAGATAGCGGTATTTCCCTCGAGTGTAGATCACGAAGATATGTGCAAACCTTAAATGGCTAGTTTGGACAATGGAATCCAAACATAAATAAAAGCAGTAAATGCTATGATTTATAGGATAATTAACTGGCACAATACAAAAGATATGCAATTCTAAGCACAAGCGAAGACCCGTAAAGTATTGAAAATTGAGCTCTCATATTTTTAATGTGCTTAGAGAGGAGCAAATGTTACCTCTGAAGATCTGTCATATGTATCCACAAACTTTCTCGAGACCTGCATGTACAAAAAGTTTTTCTCAATGCCAAGGTATTATCAATGCCAGGTAAAAGGAGTGAAGAGAACATCATAAAATCAGCCCCACCCCCCCACCCCAAAAAAAGAAGGAAAAAAAATGAAAAGGGAACCAAAATTGACCTACCTCAGAACCACCAAAACTCCCATTTTCAAATATCAATGGCCTAGGAGAAGAACCCTCTTCAGATCCTTCTGCAACTGGTGATGGAGGTTGTGGAGGGGATACATAAATAACTTTTAGTTTGCATTCTTCAACTAGATTTCCGCTCTCTTTGTTGAACTGTTAAAAGAGAAACCACTTGTATAAGATATGACGTGTGTTGACAATATACAGCTCTTCTAGCAAACCCACTTCTTTTAGCTTCTAGCATTTAAGACAGATAAGGAACATATGAGCACAAAATAGCTCAGAAAAAGCTTAAAAACAAATGAAAGGTTCAGCCACATTAATCACCCTAAAATCATAAATAGACAAACTAAATGACCAGACAAAATTACCATATCTCCAGTTATATCTTTCGGTGTTGCTCCAGGACTAGCAACTGTGCTCTGGAGCAGAAATTTGTCCCTGCACACCAAGTCAGCAGGAGCTTCCTTTTGCGCTTGCATTGTAACTGCAGATGATAAAAAAGTAAAAATTAATGACCAACACAAGGACCAGTGTTTGTATCGTCAATATAATGAGAAAAAGAAAAAAGCAAAATTCTTATCCAAAAAAATGGAAATCAACAACCCCACAAGGACCAGTCTTTGGTTCATAAATATGATGATGGAAAGAAACAGAGGAAACTTTTTATTCAAATGCCATTATTGGTAACCCA